ACCTGGGTGTTAAAATAGACTCCCATCTGACCTTTGAGGCTCATATCAAACATGTCTGCAAAACCTCATTCTTCCAAATCAAGAACATCGCCAAACTCCGTCCCACACTCACTCCTGCAGATGCGGAAAAGCTTGTCCACGCTTTTGTCTCCTCCAGGCTGGACTACTGCAATGCGCTCCTCACTGGGATCCATGAGAAATGCCTTCAGAACAGCGCTGCTAGGATCCTGTTGAGGGTCCGCAAACATGACCACATCACCCCATCCTCAAATCACTCCACCGGCTTCCTGTCTCATTCAGGATTGAGTACAAGGTCTCCCTCCTTACCCACGAGTGTATTCATGGTGAAGCCCCCTCCTACCTCAAGGAACTCCTCACCCCACAGACCTCAACACGTGCCCTCCGATCTGCCTCAGCGTATCTTCTGAAACCTCCCAGGACCAAATCCGTACAATGGGAGATCGAGCTTTCTGCTCAGCTGCTCCCAGATTGTGGAATGCTCTCCCTGACCACCTGAGGACACCACAGACTCTGGATGCTTTTAATCCTGGCCTTAAAACCCACCTTTTTAGGAGAGCTTATGATTGAACTTTTTCTTCATGCTCTCCATGTGTTTATACTTTTAGCACTTACCTGTTTTTTATCATGTAGCACTTTGAGATTTACCTAAATATAAAGTGCATTACAAGTTAAATGTATTATTATTATTATTATTACTTCAGAGAAAGAGCAAATTCCTCTGTTCCTGGGTCTCAAGAGGGCGAGTCTGGCAGTGTGCGACCCTGTAACATCTCAAGGACCCCAAAAACACCTTAGACCCCAGAGGGTTAAACCATGCTAGTGCAATTCCACTAATGCCAACATCATTTTCGAGTCTATTTAAAAGAATGTTGTGGTCGATGGTGTCAAATGCAGCACTAAGATAGAGTAACACTAATAGAGAGATACAAAGCTTCGTCACATATGGTACGGTCTAAATCCTGACTGAAAATCCTCACAGATATAATTTCTTTCTAAAAAGGAACATAGTTGTGAGGATACTGCTTTTTCTAATATCTTTGACAGAAAAGGCAGATTCGAGATCGGCCTGTAATTGATTCATTCTGGAGGATCAATTTGTGTTTTTTTTTAACAAGCGGTTTAATCATAGCCAGCTTAAAGGTTTTTGGTACGTATCCTAATGACAAAGATGAATTAATGATATTAAGAAGAGGATCTTTGACCTCTTGAAGCATCTCTTTTATTAGCTTAGTTGTTATAGGGTCTAATATACACGTTGTCGATTTAGATGATTTAACAAGTTAAAAAAATTCTTCCTCTCCTATAGCAATGAATGAATAAAAAAAATTCTCAGGGAGACTACAATGCACTCCCTGATGCGATGCTATAGTAGACGGTTGCATAGTTATAATTTTCTCCCTGATATTATCAATCTTATAAGTGAAGAAGTTCATAAAGTCATACTGTTGTGTTGCTTGGAAACTTCTGGGCTTGAAGCTTTATTTTTCGTTTGTTTAGCCAGTTTTAAATAGATACCTAGGATTATGTTTATTTTCTTCTAACTGGGTTGAAAAATAAGCAGATCTGGCAGCTTTTAAAGCCTCTCTGTAAGCAATCGAGCTCTCTTTCCATGAAATGCGAAATACTTCTAGTTTTGCTAAATTTTTCTGGCTGCTCTCTTAAGGGCCTGGGTGTGCTCATTGTACCACGGTGTTGGACTATTTTCTTTAATCTTCATTAAGCACAACGGAGCAACTGTGTCTAAAGTACTGGAAAAGAGAGAGTTACAAGTTTCTGTCGCAATATCGAGTTCTTCTAAGCTATCTGGGATGCTGAGATGATGAAACTGATCAGGAAGATTATTAATAAAGCAATCTTTAGTGGCAGAAGTGATAGGTCTAACATATTTATAACACGGAGTCGGCTTTGCTGCTTTGGCTAAGTGAAGTTTACATGAGACTAGATAATGATCTGAGATGTCATCACTCTGCTGCAGAATTTCAACAGCATCAACATTGATTCCGTGTGATAATATTAGATCTAGAGTATGATTACGAACATCATTAGTGTCAACGTGAATAATAATCTTAGGGTGTATTCACACCAGGAAAGTCCGATAGTTCACTTGCTTTGGTCCGGACCAAATAATTTTTTTTTTTTGTTTTTTTTTTTTTTTGGTACGGTTCGCTTTCACACTGCTCTTTTTGCAAGTGAACCAAAATTTGTAAACTAAACCACACGTGTGCTAAGGTCGTCCATTCATTGGACAAGGATTCTCAAGTAAGTTAGGGAAATCAGGAAGTGCAAAAACGGCTCAGCATGGAGATATTTCGTACTGCAATATTTGTTATTTGACTAATTTTGTGTTATTCTGTACAAACGCAATATGAAAAAACTGTGCAGAAGACGGATAAGGTATAAAGTTTTCATTCATAGAGAGGGGCTATGTTCACACATTCAAATAATGAGATTCTTATTGTATATACTGCTAACAAGTGCTGTCAATGTTAACGCTTGCGATTAAGTTTGTCCAGTTTAACGCAGCATCATCCTTGTATTGTAACTATCGTTACATTATATGAACTGCAAAAGCTTTTTTTGCATCTATGCGCGATTAGACTAAAGAGAACGCTCTGTATGTGAATGTCCTGATACACACACTCATTCATTCATTCCATTCCAATGATGCACACACACGACTCGCAGAAAGACGCGCAACAGTATCGTGTGGCCAGACAGCACGCCGGAATGGAATTCTCTTTCGCACTTGAACAACAATAACACAAACCATCATGCCAAAATCTCTGACTACAGAAGCCTGTTAACTCAAAGGCGCAGTGCTTTCTTGCAATTGGGTCAGTTCATGTTCACACCGTAAACGAACCGTACCAGAGTTCGTTTGGAACCGTACCGAGACCACCTCTTCAGCCGGGTCTCGGTTCGGTTGTTTGGTCCGCACCCGAGTTCGATTGCTGTATTCACACCTGCCCAAAAGGTCCGCACCAAAGGGGGAAACGAACTAGAGTTCGATTCAATCGAACCAAACAAGGCAGGTGTGAATACACCCTTAGAGAATTTATGATTAGCATTAGCCAGCACTTTTAACATGTTTTGTTAAACATGTTTCTGGCTCCCGGCAAACATATGACCATGGTGGCTGGTGGCTCCATTTTCACATTCCGTGTAGTAGAAACGCCAATAACTACGGCACATTCAACAGGATTCTCAGTGGGTGTTTCACTGAGTGGGGAAAATCTATTTATTATGGTAATCGGAACGGAAGAGTGGTGTTCTGTCCCGCGACTACAGCGTCTTACCGTCACCCAATTGCCCATGAAGTGCAGGTGACAATGAGAGGAGAAAATGATATGACTCACCATTTTTGTTGACTGATCCTACTCACCTATGTTGTTTGATGAAACTCGTAAAAAGCGCGAGCAAAAAATAAAAATAAATAGAGAGCGCACGGATGGCACGCTAACAGGCTAGCGAATTACTAGTGTGTTGTGATACCAATAACAATTTAGATAGAAGCAAGCGATGTCAGGTTAATGTGTGATGTTGGGTAAGCTATATTTATCAGTATAAACAACAAGGAATGATAGTAAATAGTGATTCAAAACACAAAGATATACAAACCTTACAGACGCAAACCAATGCAACAGCAGCAGCAGCAGCAGCAGCAGCAACGAGGCAGACAGCAGCAATCGAGCAGAGCTGGAGCCAATCGTCAGCATCATCAGCCGGTCATCCGCTTCAGGGTACCGAATTGGCTTCTTAAGTTATGTCAGAGGCCGGTCTCAAGAATTTGGTTCTCTTAGTAGATTGGGACATGGGGGATCAATGCGGCGCTCTCAGCTGAAGTATTTTTCGGGGGAAGACAGATCTGAGGACTGTCAATATCTTCAAGAAGGCTTCAGGGAAGAGGTCCTGATGCCAGTGGTGTCAGGCCTCTGAGGGCAGTGTCCTCTGGGGGGAAGTGGTTAAAACCTCACTATACGGTGCGCATTCATAGAGACTGTTAGGTCTGATGCCAGCTGTTTCCAAACGGATACCTTTTGGCCTGCTGTACATGAGACCTTTGCAGTGGTGGCGCAAGACCAAGGGGTTTCCCTCAGGGGCAACCCGTTCCACGTGATAAAGATTACATGCAGGTGCTTCATACTTTTGTTATGTGGAAGAATTCTTAGTTCTTGTCCCAGGGTCCTGTACTGGGAGCTCCTTGATGTCGCATAACGCTTACGACAGATGCTTCCCTCACGGGCTGTGGAGAGATCATGAATGGTCGATCAGCTTGGTATCTGTGGAGGGGTCATCATCTCTCTTGGCACTTAATTGACTGGTGATGATGGCTCAGGCTTTGCATCCTTGGGAACCAATTTCAGGGAGCAGATATCCTGTCGAGGCAGGGGCTGAGGCCTGGGAATGGAGACTTGAAGCTTAAAGTTGAAGACTTGCAACTTGACCAGGACTTTTCTATCTTGACTTGGGACTTGACTTGGGACTTGTCTATTTTGACACAGGACTTGACTCGAGACTTGAATGCAAAGACTCATGACTTGCTTATGATTTGCAAAACAATGACTTGGTACCACCTCTGGTTTAGACCATGCTTCACTCCAGAGCTCCCTGCATAAGGAAAATGGCAGAAATCATCAGCTGGATCCAGTTAACTGCCCGGTTGGTACAGTGCTGGAATTCCTGCAGAATCTATTCTCCACAGGGTTATGCACATCTCCACATGCATATTGACAGATTTTAACCTGGGTTACACAAGCAAAAGCCGTTTCAAGCTGGACAAAGCTGAGATAAAGAAAATACATTTCTAACAGTAATAATACTCTAGCCCTTCTTAGTCCATTCCTTGTTATGTACATATCATATTTAGCATCTTATGGAATGACAGACTGACAGGAAAACAATCTTCAGCTTTTAACTTTTTAAGTGAATCTTTAAGAGAATGTCTCCTGATGTCTCAACAGTCTCTCTCGCTTCTCCAGCGTCTCTTTCAGAGGCCTTCAATATCGACACTGAACATCCACTGAGATTTAACGGCGCGGCAGAAGATTTCTTTGGTTACAGCGTTTATCAGTCTGAGTTTGAAAACAGGAAACAGTGAGTGACACACACACACACACACACACACACACACACACACACACACACACACACACACACACACACACACACCACACACACACACACACACTGGTTGCTATGGAGTTTTCTGAGGGTCTGATTGATTGTTTTTGGCAGGATCATCGTCGGAGCGCCATTAAAAGGAAACTCAACGGGTGAAATGTACAGTTGCACAGTAGATCTGCAGTCCTGCACACCTCTGCTCTGGCCAGGTATCACGTCACACACACTCTCTGTCATGATCACCCTCACACACACTATCTGTCATGATCACCGTCACACACACTCTCTGTCATGATCACCGTCACACACACTCTCTGTCATGATCACCGTCACACACACTCTCTGTCATGATCACCGTCACACACACTCTCTGTCATGATCACCGTCACACACACTCTCTGTCATGATCACCGTCACACACACTCTCTGTCATGATCACCGTCACACACACTCTCTGTCATGGACTTTCATTGTTCATCTGCATCTGACTGTGTGTGATTAGAGTTTGTGCTCATACTGTGGCCTCTCTCTCTCTCTCTCTCTCTCTCTCTCTCTCTCTCTCTCTCTCTCTCTCTCTCTCTCTGAGTGCATGTTTGGAGTGAGACTTTTTTCGGTAACACTTTATTTTACGACCCGCAAACAACTGCGTAAGTAAACCGAAATTACGGTGTACGTTTCTGTAATTATAGTGTACTTCCGTGTAGGTATAAGGGAACAATATGTTAAGTTTTGGGTAATAAAGGGGTAACAAGCAGATATACAACCTGCAAATAACTTCGTAAGTAACCCGAAATTACAGTGTACGTTTCTGTAATTATAGTGTACTTCCGTGTAGGTATAAGGGAACAATATGTTAAGTTTTGGGTAATAAAGGGGTAACAAGCAGATATAAAACCTGCAAATAACTTCGTAAGTAAGCCGAAATTACGATGTACGTTTCTGTACTTATAGTGTAGCCTACCTCCGTGTAGGTATAAGGGAAAAATATGTTAAGTTTTGGGTAATAAAGGGGTAACAAGCAGATATACAAGCAAATTATTTATAATGTAATTATTTTAAAACTAACAGGTACCTATTCTGTTAATATATTCCAGGCAAAAATAGTACGTCTGTTGTATATAAAAGTTATCATCACATTTCTGGCAAAATATGTGCAGTATGATTTCAAGATTATTTCTGTTCTGTTTACATTTTGTGTTGATGTAATTTCAACATTGTGATTGTTTATTGTTAAACTTGTTTTAATAAATGGTTTTGGTTTAATTGTGCTACTGTACTTTTACAAGTACTAATTTAGAAATTTGTTGATAATGCTAATGGTGAAGCTAGGTTTGTCTGTTTCAGCATACTGGTTTAATGTTGTACTTACCCTGTAACTACAAAGAACAAGGAGGTAACAAGTGCCACTTTAATTTACAGCCCGCAGGAGTTACACTTACCCTGTAACTACACAGAACAAGGACAAGCGCCACTTTAATTTACAGCCCGCAGGAGTTACACTTACCCTGTAACTACACAGAACAAGGACAAGCGCCACTTTAATTTACAGCCCGCAGGAGTTACACTTACCCTGTAAAATACACAGTTGAAACGGGTAACAAACACTACTTACTATGTAACAATACGAAACAACACTATTCACACAGTAATTACAGAGAAAGGTACTCTTATTAATGTTACGCCCGTACTAGGGAGCAACAATGAAGGAGGAAGAAACGTTTACGGCGGTTACAATACTCTCTTTATTTTACACTTTCTTCATGACAAAGACTGTCTCTCAAGCTCTCGCAATACGCCGCAACGCCGATCAACATCTCGGTCCTGGCCAGGGATCGATGTGACAGAATGGAACGCTCCATGAGGACGCCAAACAGGAAGGTTTTATTGACAGGCACACCTGTGCACCGGTGCACCCAATCCACCTGATTACTCCCTCAGCTCCGCAGCGCACCTGTAGGAGGAGCAACACACACCCAGACACGGCAAAACCACAATACAAAGTATACAGCCGTAACACTCCCCCCCTTAAAAAAAAGGAAACTAATATGTTTCCGCCAACAATAAGCATTCATAACCGCACTAACAAATATAATTTAAGTATAGGCCTATACATACACAATAACAACAACATTCCTTACCCCCCGTGTATAAAGTAATAAATAGAAAAACAAACCTGTTAACTCTTCATCCAAGGCACCACCTAAGAAATGTTCTACAAGTGTGTCCTAGACAATGCATCGGCCACTATATTTTCTGAGCCCTTCAAATGCCTAACATCTAAATGAAAGGGCTGAAGAAAGAGGCACCAACGCATCAGCCGTTGATTTGGATTTTTAAGAGAATGTAAAATGTAAGCGGATTATGATCACTATAAACTATTACCACTGCACTGTTCCCACCTACATACACAATTACCCACAAAGCAACATCAATGACGCACACAATGACACACACAATGACACACACAATGACACACACAATGACACACACAATGACACACACAATGACACACACAATGACACACACAATCTTCCCACTTCTGAGCGAGGAAGTGGACCGGGGCAATCAATAATAATATAATCAAACGGTTGACATACAGCCGGAATTGGACGCAAAGGGGCTGGCTTTAACAACTGGTTCCGTTTACTGGCAAGCTTGCAAATTTACACTTGGAAGTCTTTGACTTAAGCACTGGACAATTCGACTTCCAATGTCCCTTTCCCAAACAATAATTACAGTTATCATAGTCACTTGACGTTTTTTCCCCAAAACGCCCGATTGGACTCATAGGGACAATAGAAGAATTTACTCGTGTATGAACCTGATGTTGACTGAATTCATTAACACGGGGCTTATGAATAAGTTCCCAGTCATCAACCAGCAATGCAGCTTCTGACGCGGTTTTAACCTGACGCTCCGCAACATAAGTGGCTATCATCTCAGGAAGTGTATTTCTGTATTGTTCAAATAAAATCAACTCTCTCAGCTTATCAACTGCTGTACTATCTGCCGCTGTACACCACCGATCAAACTGCACAGTCAACCCTCTTACGAACTCAACATTGGTTTCATTCACCTTTCGCTGTAACGTACGGAACTTTTGCCGATAACTCTCTGGCACACGCTCATTAATTTTTAACACCGCCGCCTTAATGGCTTCATAATTCTGGCTGTCAACATCAGATAGCGTAGCATAGGCTTGTTGGGCTTTACCTGTTAACACGCATTGAAGGAGCAGAGCGCGTTCAACATCACTCCATTTATACGCTACTGCGACTCGCTCAAGCAGGAGAAAAAATATCTCCACCTCAGCCTCATTAAACGGCGGTACTAATCGTAAATTATGAGCCACACTCAGTTTCGTCAAATCCGTATCAAAACCTCCCATTGGCTTACCTTCTTCATGTAATTCTAGTCGACGCCTTTCAATCTGTAAACGCTGCTGCTCCACCTGTTGCCGGCTCTCCTCCAACTCTAACTCCAAACGTACCTTGTCACATTCCAAGCGACGCTTCTCACACTCAGTATCACGTTGTATCATCAACAACTCTTTCTGTTGCTCAAATGAAAGTGTGCTTAAAGCAGACAATGGAAGAGTAGTTGGAACAGGAGTACTTACGGCAGGCACCGCAGCTGACCCCGGTAATTTAGATTTTTTTCTCAAGATTTCAAGATCACACAACGCAGTCTCAATGATTAACTTAATTCCGTCCTTTGATCTTTTTTGATTATACGTTAGCTCGATTTTATAATGCGCAGCTAGCTCCAACAATTGCTCTTTGGTCATTTCCTCTAACAATTCCTCAGACGGAGTCTGAGAAAATGTTTCAATCAAATCGGTAGCCATAATTACCAATAATCACGCTCAATAAATATCAAATTTATTACTTTGACAAATCAGGGTTTATTTAAAGAAACTAAACCATCCAATTAAACTAGCTCAACCCTAGTCTTCAGTTGGCCCAAGACCGGGTATTTACGCACTAAATCCCGCAAGTTTGGGAAGACGACCAATTGCCGAGTCGCCCCCCAAACCTCGGATGTGCCCCCGAGACAACTGCTCTAAGCCCCGAGCCAACCAAAAATAACAAACTAAAAAAAAAAACACACTAAACCTACCCTGACGGTTTGTTCTTCAAATACCCCCAACAAATTATGTTCTAGAACCTAACTAATTAATGGAGCGTTCCAATTTTTCAATTCACAAATAGTCGGATAATATACAAATATTCAAACATCAATTCAAAAGTATCCTACCTTTTACCCTCCTTCACAAACAACGTTCTTTTTTTTTTTTTTTTTTAATAATTCGCACGAATCCAAACACAAGTTTAGTTCGACGAGCCCCCAATTGTTACGCCCTTACTAGGGAGCAACAATGAAGGAGGAAGAAACGTTTACGGCGGTTACAATACTCTCTTTATTTTACACTTTCTTCATGACAAAGACTGTCTCTCAAGCTCTCGCAATACGCCGCAACGCCGATCAACATCTCGGTCCTGGCCAGGGATCGATGTGACAGAATGGAACGCTCCATGAGGACGCCAAACAGGAAGGTTTTATTGACAGGCACACCTGTGCACCGGTGCACCCAATCCACCTGATTACTCCCTCAGCTCCGCAGCGCACCTGTAGGAGGAGCAACACACACCCAGACACGGCAAAACCACAATACAAAGTATACAGCCGTAACAATTAAGAAAAAGAAAAAGAAAAAAAAAACGTTTTAATTACACAGTATATTTGCCCTGACATTTAAGTGTCATTGCAATACAATCTGATAAGGTAAGTACTAAGTACTACATGGTACGGTCTAAATTAAAATCATAGCAGAAACTAATTTTTTTTTTACTTAACATTAAGTAATCTAGCAAGAAAAGCCAATAAATTCATTTTTTATCATACTGTGCTTACATACATTACAGCCATATATATATATATATAGGTTTAATTTTCAACCCACAGATGTCACAATTACCCTGTAACATTGCACAAGAACATATTTTGCCAGAAATGTGATGATAACTTTTATATACAGCAGACGTACAATTTTTGCCTGGAATATATTAACAGAATAGGTACCTGTTTAAAATAATTACATTATAAATAATTTGCTTGTATATCTGCTTGTTACCCCTTTATTACCCAAAACTTAACATATTTTCCCCTTATACCTACACGGAAGTACACTATAATTACAGAAACGTAC